TCTCTCAAACCTCCATCATTAAACTCTGACTTGCTGGTGGACCCGCCGACCCGACGGACGCCAATCGACTTGGTCGCTGATCTGGGCCCGCTGTCCCTGAGGACTGGCCTTTTAGCACAAGGTGACTCATCCAGAATGGCTTTCTTGGTTTTGGGAGGGAGGGCAGCAAAGTCTTTTTCATTTCCCCAATTTTTAATTACTTTCTGAATAAGTGTAACACATTCAGATAGGCGAAGGCCGTCAAAAAAAACAGAAGAGCTAGCTGCACTGGCATCTCCTGCACTCTCCAACAGTGCAGGGTTGAGGTGCGTGCTGTCTCACAGGGAGGACCTTGTCTCCTCCAGCCAGCTTCAGACCACGCTCACACAATTCCAGCAACGGCTGGCTCTTGGCAGTTCCTACTTGCTGTGTTACTTAAGTGAGAGCTCATCTGCAACTGGGGAAGCCCTGCCTCAGAAAAGCCTCCCAAGAGCCTGTCCGCTGGCTCACACCAGCGGCTGGGACAATGCAGACAGGCGACTTTACAAGCCAAGCAAGACTGTTTCCTTATAACCCTGGGACGAAGGCAGCAATCTGCCAAGGAAGATAACATTTTCATCTTCATGCAGCAAGGTCCTCTTCAGACTTAAACAATCAACAACAATAAACCAACAAAACCAAAGCTTACCGTGGTTTGGCAGTTGCCAATGTTTTGTCCCGTGCTGCTCTAATAATCACTACAACAATACGTTGGTCCATAAAGTCAAAATCTTCGTATGCAACAAATACATTAGCAGCTTTGGCTATGTATGACCTGCCGCATAAGGCACTGCTGGAGTGCCTAACGAAGTCCAAACAGAACGTCTTCCCTTTTAAAGTTTCCCAACCAGAGCCCCATCTCAAAAGGGGCAGAAGGTGATGAAGTCAGAGATAAATGACTGTCCCCTGCAGTCAATGAGTGGGGGGGGGGGGGAGTCGGGGGGCAGAGAACTCTGGGAGCCTCCAGAGAACCCAGAGTGTCAAGGTGGCCGCATCATGCCTGGATTAATGGAGACACCGAGGACAGTGGGCGTGGGACTAAACGTGCCCAGCTGATGGAGGAGTGGCAGAGCCCCTGCTTGCTGGCTGTCACCTTCCTTCTGGCCACCCTCCTCCATCTCCCTACCCCAACGGGAGAGGAGAGTCAGCAGCCACCCCCTTCACCGCCAGGAGCCCACGCGGATACCTAGGCACCCTCTGTTTGAAAAAGAAGTCCAGTACAACCTCCAGGCAACGGTAGCACCAAGCTGGCCGTGCCTCTGAGTTATGAGAGAAGAGAGGCAGGAGGGTGAGTGGGGGGAGGGAGAGACGGCACGGCACAGGCCCAGTGCCCGGAGAGGCCAGGCTCCCAAGGCCCCACCCGACCCCACCCCCCCACCCCCCCACCCACCCCGTCCGCAGGAATCACACAACTCTGATTTGAAAGTCAAATCGAGGCCCCCCTCCCCACACTTCTGCAGCTCCCACTTCTCTCCCGGGGCTTTGAGCTGAGAGTGGCACTGGGCTCTGGGCCGTGCTGGGCCTCCAACCACCCGGCCTGTAAACCGGGGTCCAGTGCGCTGGGAGCCCCCCGGCGCGGGCAGGGAACATGAGGTAGCTGGGCCTTTCTGGCAGTCCTGGCACGCAGGGCGGAGAAGGCAGAGGGTAGCCCCTGCAGGAGGGGGCGGGCCGCGCTCATCAGCTGGCCGGGGTTTGCTTTTCTAGGGACTGCTCCCATCCTCACGCGGCCGTCCCTATCCAAGCGCCGGTTTTGCCCAGGAGGCAACTGAGGCTGGGCGCTGAAATGACTTCCCCGGGGTCAGAGGGCGAGAGGGGCAGAGGCGGGACTCAGGCCCGAGCTGCCTCCCTCCCGCGCCGCGCTGTCCCTCTCCGTGCCCCCGAGCGCACCGCGCCCGCCCCCAGGATCCCGGATCCCGCCGCCCTCCGGGTCTCTCCGGGTCCGGGTCCCTGGTCTATCCGCAGCCCGGGGCTGGAGCGCAGCGGGAAGCGGGAATTCGCTGCAAGTGCCGCTCCCGGCTCGGGCACGTGGTGGCGGCCGCGGAGTCGCCAGAAGGGACGCGCGGGTCTGGAGGAGACAGCGTGGGTCTGGAGGGACAATGCGGGGCTGCAGAGGAGACGCGAGGCCAGAGAGGAGATGCGGGGCCAGAGAGGAGACGCGAGGCCGGAGGGGGACGCGCGGGGCCGGAGGGGACACGCGGGGCCGGAGGAGACAGGATCTGGAGGGGCACGCGGGGCCGGGGCGCAGCGCAGGGCGGAGGGAACAAGGTGGCGCGCGTCTCGCTCGGCCCCAGCCGGCACCGCCGCAGCCCGGGTGCACAGCGCTTCCGCGCCTGGCGAGGACCCAAGGCTTGGGTACCCACAGGCGGCCGTGCAGGTCCCCGCGCGCGCTGGGGGCGTGGGCCGCGTTACCGGGACTCCTACCTTTCCTGAAGGGCATCGCGCCGGGGGCGCTCCCCGCGGGGCTGGCCCGCAACACCCAAACAGGACGACGTCCAGGCGGCAGCCCCGCGGCTCGGGGCGCCTGCGGGCGGCGGGGCGGGCGAGGGAGGGGAAAGGGACATATTTGGTCAAAGCCTGGCGCGTCACGGCGCGGAGGAGGATCCGCGGCGAGGCAGGAAGCGCGGGGCGGCGCCAGCCGTGAGCTCCGGGTGCCCTCGGGCTGCAGGGGGAAGCCGGGGCGTGGGCCGGGCCGCCCTGTCCTGCCCAGTTCCCCCCGGTCCCGCAGGGGCGGCCCGCAGCCCCCCAGACGCAGAACTTGCCGGCCTCGGAGCTGCCGCCTGCCTTTGCGGACTCCATGGAGCAGGGGAAAACTGGTCGGGGAAGAAACCAACTCCTTTTGCGCCTTCAGGTTGTTCCGAGCCATCCTTCCCAAAGGACGGGACTTGGGGGAATTCCATCCCATTTTTACATTCATGTCCTACGGGCACTGGGGACAGGCTCAAATCACCAGCTGACTCAAATTGAACAAACTGAAATTGTTTAATTTTTTCTTTTTCTTTTTTTTTTTTTTTTTTTTTTTTTTTTTTGTTTGTGTTGGTTTGGGGGTGTGTGTGTGTTTTGAGACAGGATCTCACTCTCGCCCAGGCTGGAGTGCTGTGGTGCGATCATAGCTCACTGCAGCCTCGACCTCCCCAGGCTCAACCTGTCCTCCCGCTTCAGCCTCCCGAGTAGCTGGGATTACAGGCGTGAGCCACCGCGCCCGGCAAAATTGAAATTAACTGCTGGCTGGAGGGAGCACCCCAGAAACTCGCGTCTTTCTCTGGGGGCCTCCCCACTGCCTCGGTTTAACCTCGACCCGCCGCGTCGCGCCGGCTGCGTTCTCTCCACCGCACAGGTCACCGCCTGACCGACTCCCTATGTGCTTATTCGTGTGTGGTGTCTATGAAAGAAGCCATTTTTTTTTCTTTTGTTCTCTGTTTTCCCGGAGCCTAGAACAGTCTATCACGCACAGCTCAATAAATATTACTCAATATTACGTCTCTTACTCAAGGGAAGTAATAGTGCGACTTAAGAAACGGACATACGGAAATGCAGGGAGTCACCTCCCAGCACCACTGACCTTGCCTCTGCAAAGGCCAGCATCTGAGAAGATGCCTTTTATTCCTTCCAAATGTCTAAAAAGCAGGCCTTCTTTGGAGCCAGTTAACAGTTAATTGTTGTGAAAAGTGCTATTTTCAGTTGCACTTTGAAAAAAAAAAAGATGTCAGGAGCAAATCTCCTGATCTCCTGATATTTAAAACACCCATGCAAATATCAATTGGCCCGCTTTCCATGAGGTGGCAAAAATCATGCAGGAAAGGTACAGCCAGTAGGTGTGGGTGGTTTGTTTTTGTTTTTTTTTCCTTTAATCTTTCCTTAATCATAATTTGTTTCTTAGCCTGCTATCGTTCATGGGTAATAGTCCAAATTCCTCCCTCTTTGGAAGGGAGATGACGCCACGGGGAGGAAGCCACTGTGGAGTGGGACGGTGTCTTGCCAGTTGTCTTGGGACACAGCTGCTGGTAGAGCCTTCAAAACAGATCCTGCTCATGGGCCAGGCTACAGATCGGGTCCTGAGCCCTGACTTCAGCTTCTGTGCCACTGCCTTTGCAGGTGTGAGTGTTAGCGGAGCAGGAAGGGGGGGAACAGAAGGGTACCCCAAATCCAAAGTTAGGCATAATCGTCAGCTACCTCTGTAATATTCCCTGCCATAATTGCAATGGCAGGTGGACCTGGACTTAGCTCCATGGACTTACCTGCTACAGAAGGCAAATTTTGTCCAAGGCCAGGGGTTCCAGATAAAGCGTGTGTCATCCTGCCTATATCAGACTCACCACCACCGCTGTCGTAGTAAGGCCAGAGCACATGCCCTCAGAGGTGGATGGTGCTGTGGCTGGATACTTGGTCTTTGGTCCTGTTTTCTAGTCCAGAGCTTCTAAAACCCTTGGGATCTCCAGAAGGATGAGTGTTTTTTGGATGTCAATGGGAGGACTGGGCAGCTTCAGGATAGGGGCTGGGAGCTGGAATTAGTCAGAACTTTCGGCTCAGACCTCTGACCTTTGGGGAGGGGAGAGGGGCTGGAGATTGAGTTAATCACCAATGGCCAGTGATTAATCAATCATGCCTATGTAATGAATCCTCAAAAAAATAAACAAACAAAAAAAACCCAAACGACAGAATGTGAGCCAGGCACTGTGGCTCACACCTGTAATCCCAGCACTGGGAGGCCAAGGTGGGTGGATCACTGGAGGTCAGGAATTTGAGACCAGCCTGGTCAACATGGTGAAACCCCATCTCTACTAAAGGTACAAAAATTAACCAGACATGGTGGCAGACCCTTGTAATCCCAGCTGCTCAGGAGGCTGAGGCAGGATTATCGCTTGAACCCAGGAAGCAGAGGTTGCAGTGAGCCAAGACCATGCCACTGCACTCCAGCCTGGGTGACAGAGTGAGACTCCGACTCAAAAAGAAAAAAAAAAAAAAAGATAGAATGGGAAGAATTTCTGAGTTGGTGAACACATGGAGGTGTGTTGGGAGGATGGCAGGCTGGAGAAGATGGGGGAGCCCCTTGGCCCTCACTCCCCTCACCTCATGCTAAGCATCTTTTCCATCTGACCGTTCTGAGTCCAGTGCTTTATATTAATAATGAACCAGTACCAGTAAAGTGCCTTCCTGAGTTCTGTGAGCTGTTCTAGCAAGTTACTGAATGTGAAACTGGGGGGATGGAGGGGGGGAGTGTAGGAAACCCCCTACTTTGTAGCCAAGTTGGACAGAAATATAGGTACTCTGGGCTGGAGCCAGGAGGCTGGTGTCTGAACTCAGGGCAGTCCTGAGGGACCGAGCCTCAGAGCCTGTGGAGTTAGTGTCACATTTGAATGGAATCGTAGGCCACCCAGTTGGTGTCTGGAGAGTTGGGGAACTGGTTGTCGGTGTGAAAAAAAACCCACGCACTTGGTGTCAGAAGTGTTGTGAGTAAAAACAGGTCAGACTGATGTATTCTGATCTCGCTGCTCTGAGTTCGTTTGAATCCTGTGTAGAAAAAAAAAAAAGAACATTGGAACTCGTTACTGTCTTGTTTCTGGTCCACGTTCATATAACCGCGCTCTCAGATTTTTGTGGTTGTTTAATAATCCCTGGAAACATTTGTTCTCTCACTACCAACCAGAGTCAGCCAATTATGATTGATGTCAATGTCAAATAATTCAAAGAGTGGTTCTGTGTTGTCCTTCGCAGAAGGCGAAGCCACCGGGCAGGAACGGCTGCCTCTGCAGATCCATGCGGCGATAGTACAAGGCAGAGGGCGTTGGATTTGCTGAGCCATCCGGGGTTGAACAACAAACTCGCCACAGCCATGCTGCTCGGGGAAACAGCGGGGATTGTGGGCACGGTCCCTCTGGTTTTCAGACCTGGAGAAAAGATCTGAAGTAATTTTAAGTTGAGGCTCTATTCCCAGACCTGTCAACAATATAGTATGAGTCCCAGAACTGAGTACTTTCATTATTACTCACCAAACTTTCAAGTGTGTCTGCTGACATCTCCGTGCTCAGTCTGCTGGACTATTGATGTGAGCACTGCTCTGCTCCAAAGAAGCTCTTAGCACGTCCCAGTGGTGTTCAAAATCTAACCCGATCTCAAGGGTTCGTGAGGAAACCAAGGATTGCCCGGCCAGGCTCAAGTCTTCCTCATCCTTCTTCCTTCTGTCATCATTTGAGAATGGTCACCGTAAGTGGCGTGATTTGGTAACCGGAGGTCCTGAGCACAAAGGTTCTCAAGCCTGAACAGATATCGGAACCACCCACCAGGAGGGTTGGGCACACCGATTGCCAGCCCTTACCCCAAGTTTCTAACTCAGTAAGTCTTGTGGGCGTGGGGGGCAAGAATGCCCATTTCCAGCATTCTAGGCGGAGTCCCAGGTGATGCTGACCACTATGCTGCTTAGTTCAGTCCACTACTTCTTGACCACACCTGAGAGCTGAAGAGAAAGGAGCGACTTATGCCTGCAGGTGACCTAGGGTAGGGACCCCAGGGCCCCAGGGGCTTCAGACCCATTATACAAAGGACCCCTCCCTGGGCAGACCTACCTGCAGATGAGCTCTCAATCCTAAGGTTCCTGTGGCCAGGGCAGGGGGAAAGGGAGGTGCCGCCTTCCTCCCTCACGTCAGTGCCCAGGCTCCGGGGACCGCAGGTGCCGTGGCCACAGCTTCTGGTTGTCCTCATTGCAGGAAGAAAAGGGCTCCTTCCTAGAGTTCTCTGCAGTTCGTAGGCTGACGGCTCCCATGCTGTCTCAGAAGGGAGGGTGACACTCAGTAGGAGGGGATCTGACACTCTCTACTCAGAAACTCCTGCCTGCAACAGCCTCTCTGGCCTTGTGTTTGCATTTTGGGCCTTTCCTTTCTGATGATAGAATGTACGGCTTTGTCTCCCATTCCCAGCAAAGGAATTCCAGGCCTTGGGAAGCATGCTGGGATCCTTTGATGCGGGCTGGGACGCTGGCAGAAAAGAATGTGTGTGAAGGAATGCCGGGGGCAGGGCCAGCTAGGTCCACGGAGTACTTGAGGCCGATGCCTGTCCTGTCCACGCCCACCTGAGGCCTCTACCACATCCCCGATGTGAGAGTCCAGAGCCGTTCCCACTGCCTGGCTGTCCCCACGCCACGGCCCACGCGTGGTGCGGCTCCCCCGCCTCAAGCTTCCCATCTCCCTGGAGTTTGCCAGAAGGCTGGGGGTTCTGGGATGGGTCTGAGTCCCTGCTGGCTCCCTTCCTATGCTGTGTGAAAAATGCTCTTTGAGCCTCAGTGTTTTGTTCACGCAGCACAAGGAGAGCTTAATAAATGGGTGCTTCTGTTATTATCGTCAGTATTATCATTATTATAATCATTATTATATTAACATTATCTTCATCATTATGATCATTGCCATTATCATCATTATTGTTTAGCTGGGAGCAGGGCGGGGCTGCTTTAACTGCCCCAGGGTAGTGAATAGGAAGCTGCAGTCTCCAAGAGGAGTGAGGAGGAGGGGGCGCCTGGGTGGGCACCGCTGCTGAGAGAAACCCCACCTGCTGGGCATGGGTTCCTAGACCATTCCTGTGTGCGTGTGCACGCACATGCATATGACTGTGAAAGGATTCATGATCCACAGCATCAGAGAGAACCATGAACATGGAAAGTAAGTAAATGAAGCCGGGCGCAGTGGCTCACACCTGTAATCCCAGCCCTCTGGGAAGCTGAGGCAGGTGGATCGCCTGAAGTCGGGAGTTTGAGACCAGCCTGGCCAACATGGTGAAACCCTGTCTCTACTAAAAATACAAAAATTAGCTGGGCATGGTGGCACACGTCTGTAATCCCAGCTACTCAGCAGGCTGAGGCATGAGAATCACTTGAACCCAGGAGGCAGAGACTACAGTGAGCCGAGATTGCACCATTGCCCTCCAGCCTGGGCAACAGAGCAGGACTCTATCTCAAAAGAAGCAAGAAAGCAAGAAAGCAAGCAAACAAGAAAGAGAGAAGAAAAAAAGAAAGTGGCCGGGCGCAGTGGCTCACGCCTGTAATCCCAGCACTTTGGGAGGCCGAGACAGGTGGATCACGAGGTCAGGAGATCGAGACCATCCTGGCTAACACGGTGAAACCCCGTCTCTACTAAAATTACAAAAAATTAGCCAGGTGCAGTGGTGGGCGCCTGTAGTCCCAGCTACTCGGGAGGCTGAGGCAGGAGAATGGCATGAACCCGGGAGGTGGAGCTTGCAGTGAGCCAAGATTGCACCACTGCACTTCAGCCTGGGCAACAGAGCAAGACTCCGTCTCAAAAAAAAAAAAAAAAAAAAAAGTAAATGAGTGCATCTACCTCCCAGGTCTTGGTATTCTGAATACCATCCTGCAATTAAAGGAACCAGGAGACCTCAGAGGGTTAGAGGGTTAGGGCGGGAAAGCACAAGATGAGCCGGGAGCATCTGTGGTGCCCCAAAATGATGGGGACGTGTCCCAAAGACACCAGGGCTGACCTGAGGGGGCTCTTCTGGGACAATCTGAAGAACAAGATAAATTATGGTAGTAGACAGATTGTGACCCACGGAATTAAAGAAGAATCTTAAGCCCATACTGATTTAAATAAATAGATGAATGAATGAATGAGGGAAGAGAGAAAACTTTTCCTTACAGTAAAATTCCAACCAATACATGTAGGAGGAATCATGGAACTAGCAAAATCACCATTTGGCAAATGCCACAGTGTACTTGTTTCAGGGAAGAATCATCAGTGGATGTTAAAATTAGTGGGCAAAATATCATGAGAAACAGGATATGGACAGACTCAAAGCATCTCCCCACCAGATAATTATCCATTACAAAGGGGAAAATGGTAACTTTATAGGGGAGAAATCTGGCAGACCTCACCAGGAATGGGCGGAATCAACGTCACGTCCTTCCCGACACGGTTCATAGAAAAGGATACCGAGTCACATCTGTGGTATTCCTGCCAAAAATGCTAACCTGAATCTAATCACAAGGCAACACGAGACACCTAAAATAAGGGATGTGCAACAAAATACCCAGCCAGGACGTCCTCAGAAATGTCCAAATCACGAAAGACAAAGCGGGGTGGAGGAAGCGTTCCACATTCAAGGAGACTGAAGAGACACGATGACCAGCAACCGCACTGGGGGACCCCTGGACTGATCCTGAACCCCCAAAAGGATATTCATAGCACAGTTGATGACATGCAAGTTAATTATTTTTAACTTATTATTAGAGAGTTATGAATTCTCACATTTTGATAATTGTGCTGTGGTTATCTGACATGTAGGGAATCTGAGTGAAGGATAAAGTCATAAGTCATTTAACCACGAGGATGCATTCTCAGATTGGCCAGGTACAGTGGCTCATGCCTATAATTCCAGCACTTTGGGAGGCCAAGGCAGGAGGATCACTTGAGGCCAGGAGTTCAAGACAGCCTGGGCAATATAGCAAGATTCCATCTCTACCAGAAAATGTTAAAAATTAGCTGAGTGTGGTGGCAGTGCACGCCTGGAATCCCAGCCACTCGGAAGACTGAGGAGGGAGGATGGCTTGAACCTGGGAGGTTGAGGCTGCAGTGAGTCATGATCATGCCATTGCACTCCAGCCTGGGCAACAGAGAGAGACGCGAAAATCTGTTTTCTTTCACTAAAACAGTATGCTTAATTTTCCTGATTTGCTGTTTATACAGTATGGTCCTCTGCTCCACGCTTAAAACGAAAATCTGTAGGAAACATCGCCTTTCTAGATGAAGCTGAGATGGAACAGCTCTTGTTCTACAGGCAGGGCTGTACAGGCTCTCACCACACATCTCTGTCCTCAGGAAAAGCCTGTGCTGAGTGACCAGGAGTTTCTTGTCACTGCTGCATTTTCTTCTTCTTCTTCTTCTTCTTTTTTTTTTTTTTTTTTTGAGACAGGACTGTTGCCCAGGTTGGAATGCAGTGGCATGATCACAGTTCACTGCAGCCTCACCCTCCTGGGCTCAAGCGATCCTCCCATCTCAGCCTCCCAGATAGGTGGGACCACAGGTATGTGCCATCACGCCCAGCTAATTTTTTGTATTTTTGGTAGAGACGGGGTTTCACCATGTTGCCCAAGCTGGTCTTGAACTCCTAGGCTCAAGTGATCTGCCTGCCTTGGCCTCCCGAAGTGCTGGGATTGCTGGGATTGCAGGTATGAGCCACCACACCTGGCCTCATCCCTGAAGCATTTTCTGCCGTGTCTTAGGCTGCATTGGCGACATAATCTGGGGGCTGCCACCCCTCACAGCTATGTGACTTCATATGCAAGCTCCTTGGCCTCACTGTGCCTCAGTTTCCTCATCTGTAAAGTGGAGACAATAACACCACCTACCCCCAGGGTGGCTGTGAGTGTTACATGAGATACTGAAAAAGAGCAGGTGCAACACAGAGGCATGAGTTGTTCAAAGTCAAAGAACACAATGAGGGAAGAATTAGTCATTTCAGAACTGGAATGAATCTTACAGCTCATCTAAACCAGATGCCCCATTTTACAGAGGAATGCGGCATCTGGAGGCTAAGTGACTCGTGCAGGTCCCCCAGTAGCTGACGGCGAAGCTGTGATTTCAGACCCCCACTTCGCTCGAGCAGTGATGGGAAGCTGCTGACTCCAGGCTCCGGCAGGTCAGCCCGGGGTGCAGGAGGCCGCTCCTGGGTTCCTGCACAGCAGCCGCTGGAGGGGGGCTCCCCCTTCCTGAAGCTTTGAGAGCTGGGGTGCTGAGCACATTCTTGGGCTGTTGGGTGACACCATTCCCCTCTCTGAGTCCCCCAAAGGAATGGCTGTGGCTTCCTGCACTTACAGGGCTTCCTGTATTATTAAATCTCTGCTCTTCGAAACACCCCACAGTGGTTTCTCTTGTTCCGACTGGACCCCAATCGAAACAGATGGAACACAAGGAAAAGAGCCCGGGATTTCAAAGTGAAACCTGCTTTTGCCACTTACCATCTGTGTGGCTTTGGGTAAGGCATGTAACTTTTCTACCTTAGTTTGTCCATCTGTAACGTGGGCATATTCATACTTCAGATTAGGTCTCTAGAATAGACATTTCATCAAGGTTGAATTTTTTATGTGATTATATAAGTGAATATCTTTCTTTGTAGGAGTAAATGGGCTTGATGTTCATTTGTAGGGGTAAATGGGCTCAGATGGCTCAGAAAAAAATATGCACTCGCACGTGACACACACACAGAATTATTTAGCAAATACATAGACAACTGGTCAGTGTGGGAGAAGGGGATAGAGGTGTTTTTCAGTTTGAAATTGCTTCAAAATAAATGCTTTCAGGGCCGGCACGGTGGCTCATGTTTGTAATCCCAGCACTTTGGGAGGCCAAGGCAGGCAGATCACCTGAGGCCAGGAGTTCAAGACCAACCTGGCCAACATGGTGAAATCCCGTTTCTACTAAAAATACAAAAACTAGCCAGGTGTGGTGGTGCGCACCTGTAGTCCCAGCTACTCAGGAAGCTGGGGCAGGAGAATCACTTGAACCAGGGAGGTGGAGGTTGCAGTGAGTCGAGATCGCCCCACTGCACTCTAGCCTGGGCAACAGAGTGAGACTGTGTTTCTAAAACAAACAAACAAACAAACAAAAATGCTTTCGGGAAGGAAGAGACAGATATGCTCATTTACATCTACTGACCTTTCAATAAATGTGCAGTTTAATGGAGGGGATGTTTGTTTATCTTCTATTGCTATGTAGTGTTCTTTAAAACACACACACACACACACACACACACACACACACAAATTTTGTGGTTTAAGCCCCATCCCTTCATTAGCTCCCGATTCTGAAAGTTAGAAGTCACATTGCCTGGCTGTGGCTCTGCACAGACCTCGCCCAGCGGAGATCAAGGTGCTAACTGGCTGAGTTCTCATCGGAAACCTCTGGAGAAAACTCCACTTCCCAGCTCCTCCTTGTTGGCAGAATTCAGTTCCTGTGGAGTGGGAATCAGGTCCCCATTTCCTCACTGGCTGTCAGCGCGGTCACTCCTAGAGGCCACCCTTGTTCCATGACACCTGGCTCCTCTTTCCACGGGGGCAAGGGCAGGTTGGATCTTTCTCGTGCTTTGAACACTGATGTCTTCTTCCAGGTCCTGCAGGAGAAAGCTCTCTGCCTTAAAGGACCCAGGCCCCCAGCAGTCTCCCATCTTGCGATCCGCTCATGGGGACCTTAATTCCATCCGCACAGCCCCTCCCGGCAACTGCTAGGTCAAAGCCAAGCTGAGCACCTGGGGGGAGGCGCACACAGCAGCAGGCTGCTGGTGGGGGCAATGGGCTCCCCAGGGCCCCATGGTCCGCCTGGCCCGGCCCTAGCACAGCTGGTGTGCTGTGCGTACCCTTTCTCTCCTGGATCATCCTCCCCTCAAAACGCAACTCCTACGTGCTGCCCTGGCTCTGGGGAAATGTGATGAGTTATCCTTTCCCCTCCACTCAGCCGAAGTTTCAGACATCAGGATTTCTCTCTAGGGAGACGCTCTTTTCTTCTCTGTGGTGATGTCCCCGACAGAAGAAGAGGAGCATTGTGTTGATTGTCCCATCGTCCTGGCAGCTCCACAACCAGGGGAGCAGGACAGTGCCCAGGACCAACAGGTCAGGCAGCCACCCCTTCCTTCACAAGGGACGAGAAGTCGCAGGGAGGCTGCAGAGTCGGGGGAAGTCTCTTGCCAGCTGTTCACAGCGTCGCTTGGGGCCTCCACAGCCCGCTGAGCCAAGGACAGTGTCACACGGGTGACGGAGGCCCTGAAGACACCAGAGCCCTCAAGCATGCTCAGCTGTTCCCTGTCTGCCTGCTCTCAGAAAGTCCAGCCCCTGACAAATATGCAACAGGCCTTTTTTTTTTTTTAATGTTACAGAGAACCTTCATATAATTTTCCCATAGCATCCTGACAAACTCTTGATTCAAGCAGAGGCAGCGTTCACCCATTTCACTGCCGACAAAGCTGGCCTCAGCCAGGGTAGTGACTTGCCCTGATTGCTGAGCCAGACGAGGGACAGAGCCCCAACCCCAGGTCTCCTGGCCAGTGCTGTGTCTCCTCCCGCCTCCATCCTCGTCCGAAGGTTGGGATGTCACAGTCCCTGGAGGCTTGCTTAGCTAGGAACTGAGGACCTTCAATCTCAGGGTACTGAGTCTTCATGACCTGCGTAAGGCGGAGGAGCCTGGCTGCCTCTTTCCCAGAAATCAGTCTCGGTCTCTAGGGCCAAGTGGTTGCTTTCTACTGCATTGCGCTCCTGGAACACGCTGCTGTCCTCTGCAGAGGAAATCAAAGTCATGGTGACTTCAGATTAATCACATAAGCAGAGAGAAAAGGGATTCTCTGTGGTGGGGCTGCACTTCGCCTGTAATAAGGACGCTTTAGAGGCCAAACTAAACCAGGCAGGAGAGCCAGGCCATTGGGGTGGGGCTGGGCCTCTGCTCCGGGCACGCCCTTCCTTACCATGTTTGTCTCTCACTCGGTAGATCATGAGGTTGTTCCATGTTCATATGGTGGCCAAAGTGAGGTAGCAAAGAGTTTCCTTTTTGTTTTTTTGTTGAGACATGAGGTGCGCGCGTCTGTCGCCCCGTAGGTCGGGGATGAGCATGCCACGGCACGTCTCAGGCTGCGAGAGCGTCCGCGGTCCGCAGTTGTATGAGGCGAGGCTCTGCTTAGAAAAAATCATGATGCTTCCTGCTTATATCAGAGAGAAGTAGATCTCTGCTTACAACGAACAAAGCGGTAGTTTTCGTCCACTCAATCAAACACAGTATGCGCGCCAGCTCAGGCTTGGAGTGAAGTGGTGCGAATCTCGGGCTCACTGTAGCCTTCTACAGTCCGGCCAAGGTTCAATGGCGACTCTCGCTGGCTGCGGCGCGTCCGAGTAGCTGGAATTACAGGCAGCGCGTTGCCCTGGTTGACGTGCGCGGGTCAATTTTTGTATTTTTTTACGTAGAGACGGGTTTCACCATGTTGCCAGGCTAGGTCTCAAACCTCCTGGACCTCAGGGATCTGCCTGCCTCAGCCTCCTCAAAGCTGCTGGATTATAGGTGTGAACCGACCGACGTCCAGCTGTCCGCAGCCTATTTATTTATTCTTAACTTTATCTTTTTTTTTTTTTTTTTGAAGACGGAGTCTCGCTGCTGTCACCCAGGCTGAGTGCAGTGGCCGGATCTCAGCTCACTGCAAGCTCCGCCTCTGGCGTTTACGCATTCTCCTGCCTAGCTCCAAGTAATGGGATTACAGGCCGCCGCCATCTCGCCCGGCTAGTTTTTTGTATTTTTTTAGTAGAAGACGGGGTTTCACCGTGTTCGCCAGGGAGTCTCGATCTCCTGACCTCGTGATCCACGTCTCTTCCTCCCAAAGTGCTGGGATTACAGGCTTGAGGCCACCGCGCGCCCTGGCCCCTCTTTTTTTTCAATAAGACTTTTGCACTCCTACATTTATTTATTTTTAACTTTTATTTTAGGTTCAGGGACACATGTACAGATTTGTTATATAGGTAAATTGATATGGTCACATAGGTTTTGTACAGATTATTTTTGTCACCTAAATTATAATGGCATAGTACCACCATAGGGTAGCCTGTCCTTTATTATTATTTGTAATTATTATTTTTAATTTGAGCAGGTCCTTGCTGTCACCCAGGGATGCGTTCATGACACAGCTCACTGCAGCCTCTACCTCAGGCAATCCTCCCACCTCAGCCTCCCTAATAGCTGGGGTCACAGGCATGCACTCTCACATCTGGCTAATTTTAAGTTTTTGTAGAGATGGGGTTTCAGTATGTTGCCCAGGCTGGTCTCAAACTCCTGAGCTCAAGTAGTCTCCCCGCCTCAGCCTTCCAAAGTGCTGGGATGACAGGTGTGAGCCGCCACGCCTGGCTGATAGGCAGCTTTCTGGTCCTCACCCTCCTCCCACCCTCTACCCTCAAGGAGGCCCCGGTATCTGTTGTTCCCTCCTTTGTGTCCTTGTGTCCTCAGTGTTTAGCTCCCACTGATA